GCACTGGAAATGCTGCTGATAATACTAAGAACAAGTCTTTGCATAAACAATGAATCAATTATTCTGTTCTCTATCATTTTGACTTGAATTACTGCTTTAATTCTTACAGGAAGTATTTTATCTCGTTGATGTTCGTTCGATATTTTATTCCATTATTCAATCAGCTAGATTTTCATTAGAAAATCAACCTACAATTGTTAAAAGTCATCAATGTCAAAAAACCCGTAATCATGTAATAAAGCTAGCTTTTTATTCATTTGAGATGTGCGTATGAATCTCTTCTCCTTTTACCCAATCATTCGCACCAACACCAGATTATCTGTTTGCCTACGTTATCTAGACTGCTTTGACTCAACAAAGACAATTCATTTATGACCATATGTAAACTGATTACGTAGTACAGGAGAGTTTCATGCGCACAGATGTGCTGTTTATCATTTGTGCAACGAGTGAAAATGGAAAAGATGTGAGTATGGGTGCAGAGAAGACTCACACTCACATCTGGGTAAACGGTGACACGTGGACGGTCTAGTGTGCCATCTATGAGGTCATCGATGTTCTCGAAAGTCTTCTGAGTCTCACGGACGAGTCTCATTTTTCACTAAATTAAATACAGTGCTTTATTTCATCAATGATCAAATGAGATTCGATTGTCTTGCTTTTTCAACTGTTCTTCAACAACCACTGAAATGCCAGGACAAGACGCCAAGCACAACTCGTTCAGTGTCTACACGACAGAAAAAGAAAACAACTCGTTAGCCTCCTCAGCTAGAAACAGCACAATCCTCACAGTGTTGTCTCTGAGAGCACTGGCGAGATGTTGTGCCCCAGTGGGCCCGATTTGATTGTATCGAAGGTTGAGTATGATGAGTGTCTGTGTGAAAAATACACATAGTCAAAAAACAGATGAGCAGAGAATAAAGCTCACCGTGTGGTCTTTGAGAGCATCGGCAAGATGTTGTGCTCCCTGAACTCCGACTTCATTACATTGAAGGTGGAGTGTGATGAGTGTCTGTGTAGGAATTACATATAGTCAAGAGAAAGATGAGTAGAGAATGATATTTACGATGTTGTTTCTCAGAGCATTGGCAAGATGTTGTGCCCCTTGATCTCCGATTTTCTTATAATGAAGCTGGAGTGTGGTGAGTGTCTGTGTGAAAATTGCATAGAATCAAGCGAAAGATGAGTAGAGAATGTGATTCACGATGTTGTTTCTGAGAGCATTAGCAAAATGTTGTGCCCCTTGATCTCTGTTTTGATTCATTGCAAGGCCGAGTGAAGTGAGTATCTATATGAAAAGTGCAGATGGTCAAAAGAGAGATGAATAGAGAAGGTATTCACGGTGTTGTTACTGAGAGCACTGGCGAGATGTTGTTCCCCAGTTGACCTGATTTCATTACATTGAAGGTTGAGTATGGTGAGTGGCTGTGTGAAAAGTGCAGATGGGCAAAAGAGAGACGACTGGGGAAAGGAATTCACCGTGTTGTTTTTGAGAGCATTGGTGAGATTTTGTGCTCATTGATCTCCGATTTGATTGACGTGAAGATCGGGTGTCTTGAGTGTCTGTGTGAAAATTGCAGATGGTCAAAAGAGAGACGACTAGGGAAATGAATTCACCGTGTTATTGCTGAGAGCATCAGCGATATGTCGTGCTCCGATGGGTCCGATTTTCTTACACCGAAGACTAAGTCTAGTGAGCGTCTGTATACAGGTCTAGAGAAATATAGTGGTAGAACAACGTGTAGATATTATGGAATACAGATATCAATATGCATACCTCATATTCAATTGCGTTAATGTCTATATGCAGAGGTCGTCGAGTAAAATTTGGAACACTATCTCCTGATGACACTTTCCATCTAGTCAAATTATGGACATTCGTTATCGTTATTGAAGTCGTATAGATCCAGATTGAGTTTTCTTCTGGGACATAAGCACAACTGACAAGGCAGTGTTTGTTCTCTATCCAAAATGGTTTTTGAAAGGGATGAACTAATGCGTATATAGAGGGTATTTTATTGTTTTCAGCAGAGACGCTGAAGAAGAACTAGAATTTTGCCAATGAAGGCAGTCTAGTTGTAATCAAGTGTTCCCAATAGTGGCCGTCGAATATTGAGGTAAAGTATTGCTTCTGTGAATTTGCTAATTTCAAATGAAAGAGAGATGACGTCACTGAAATGATCAATTCAATTTGATCTATGAAGAGAATGCACCCTGTTATTGTTAATGATTTCAATTGTGCATTGATTTTCATGTGATATCTTGAACGTATTTGATCACTTTCATAGTCAATAGTACAGCCCTGCAGTTGAAATATTCGTAAACATGGTAAATTATTTAGTATAGTAATATAATCGCTATATTTACAAGTACCGATTTCCAAATGTTTCAATCTATATCCAAATGGCCATATTATGCTTAGCCTTTTAATCGCAGTTGTCGAAAATGGTGATTATCAATCATCGATGATATAAGAGACAATATTTCACTAGAATTCTTACCTTGAAGATCGATAGAAAGTGACATAAGTGAATGAAATATCATTTGTTTTAAGATGTATGCCAACTCCCGGTCACTTATAGGATAGACAATTACTGAGCGAAGGCGACTAAATTGGCAAAAGTCCAAAAGTGACTTCAATAAGTTGTGTCGACGTATAGGTATGATCCTCAGCGTCGTGACTCTCTCCGGATGAGCAAACCGATGAATGTCCTGAAACCCTGGCCCTGATTTTGAATAGAAGTCAAGTGCAAATAGATCGTAAGAATTGATAAAGCCAAATAGGCGTTTACTCGCTGGACGAATTGAGTAAAGTAAGGTTTGAATGTCGCAATGATCAAAAATACCGTGAATCAATTCTTGAGGCAGCCGAAGTAGATTTGCTTCCGTCATGGTTATAGGTGAAGTGAATGTAATTGAGTGTGGTAGATATTTGTTGCGAACGTAGGTACTGTTCTCCACAAAAGTGTAATACACATATATGTACCGTTGGTCTTTGCTCTTCTATAATATTGCTAGTGGTACATAGTTGTGCTGACGGACAAAATAGACTATTATTATATAAGTCAATGAAAGAAAATTGCTTCAATGAGTTTAGGTCATTCGTACGAACATATCTACACCTACACTCTTAGCCTAAATTATCGTCCGAGAGTGCCTCAGTTGTAGATTTAATATCTCAACAAACGAACGGTTTTAGAAGCTAAACTTTTTGGTAATTTTACACCTCACTTGGAACTGTGCACCAACAAAAATTTTGTTGAAAATGTGATGTCAGTTGAGCGCATGGTGCATATTTTACTTGGTTCGTTCATGCAATTACTAATATGTTTTTAAATAGGCGTGTTCTTACAATACACATAAATTTGGTTCGATAGCAATTTAACGAATGTTGTGATGGTACATTTTTTAGTCACTATTTCCTACTTCTAGTATGACTTCTTAAGTATATTTATTGTACTTCTCTATATTATAAAAACAACTTCATTACTATTTGGAAGTACGAACACAAAGACAAAAGATTAGGCTTAATAATGCAAAATATTACTTGTTTGTGATAAAAAAATCGGAATCAAAACCTATAGAAAAACTTAACCAGAACTGGGATTGAAAGTCGAAAAAGTTTTCTATTAAGACGGAAGCTGGGTGGTCTCGCAGTTCCCTAATTTCAGTCAAACAGTCATGGATAACTCCTTTCGCTCTCTATTCGATGTAATGATGAAAAAATGATTTTGTTCATCGTTTTCTCTGGTTGTAATTTTCTATTGACAGAAAGAAAGAGAACAATTTTTCCTTCGAACCGTCACAAATGACTGCTTTTCGGCTATGTTATATGCAGAAAAATTTTCTTTTTCGCTGCGTTCTATGCTTAGAATTTCCCACAGGCAGAATTTTTTTTCGTTCGGTCGCCTGCTTGTAATTTTTCATAGATAGAAGAAAAAAGAATAATATTTTGATCAAAGTTCCTTGACTGCACCGTTTGGTTACAGTCTTTCACAGATCGAAAGAAGGACAAAAATCTTTCGGTGTCCATTATAGATAGAAAAAGAATAATTATCCTCGCTCTTCTAACTGCTTCTAATTTTTGATTGACATAAGAAAAATGAAGAGTGTTTCAATGAAATCGTCGCATGTAACTGCTAATAGTGCCCGAAATATGCAGAAAAAAAAACTTTTCTCGTGTGCTGCCTGCTTGTAACATTTCTTGATAGAAGAAAAGTGAAGAGTCTCACAGTCGAACCGTCAAAGATAATTACTTTTAGTATCTGTTATGTGCAGAAAACAACAACTCTTTTTGTCGAGTTACGCACTTGTAATTTTCCATAGATAGTAAGAAAAGGAAGAAGCTATCGATGCAACTGGGGATGCAACATTGACGGTGGTTTACCGGTATCTCCTTAGTATTGATAACACAATACCATCAGTGCACCATCCATCGATCAGCACTTACTACAAGAGTTGTTACGAGGGATGCATCAATTTCAAGTGTGACCTAATCGGAATAGAAATTCGTTACAGTCGAGAAGTCACCGTCACATAACACATCATTTTAGCAGTTACTGGCTACCGAAAAATTTCTGTGTTTGATACTTTCATGATGGCATGACTTCAAGTGTGTGTTTTTCATTGAAAAGATCGAAGAGAATCGTCAAATAATCGTTTGAATCACTAATCGAAAATAATATTCGAATCTTATTGTGTCTTTTCTGCACAAAGATCGTTCCAAATTGTGATCGAAACAATAATGTCGTTTTTGTTCATTATACTCTAGTATGAACAATAGTCTAGCAGAATGATTCATTTATATCACTTGATTCACATCAAAGAACAATTTTAACATCATTTAATAGATGATGTATCTCAATGTTTGGAAAAATTTTATTTGGAATTTAAAGAGATACAAGTTTCAAAAAGAAAAATCTCGTGAGCAGTGAGGACTTCATAGATGATTGTCAAAATGGTTCAATTTAAACAATTGTGAGAACAATATCTATTCTAGTCTATCGATCAGTAAGTGTTGGTGCTGTGAGTAATATGTTCATTGGAGCTATTTGACGGTGTCCCAGATTGAATCGATATTTCAAATATATTTGAATCGTTTGTCGAAAACGCGATGATGAAATAAGGAATATGTAAAAAGATGAAGCGAAATTCATAGAAGTGATAGAAGTAGTCAATTGATCTACGAGAAGTAAAATAGACATTTGCTCGAAACTTCTCCTTGTACTCTCATCAATTGTGGCAATTGAATAAACGACATAAATAGCTCGAGGAAGTGTGAAAAATATACTTAGAAGAGTTTGAATTAACATCATTCTTGTCATTTGGTGTTCCCATGTTGACATTCGAATTTGATTTGGTTGTTGACGAATATGAGTTACAAGACGAATATTACGATATGTCAATAATCCAAACAATATTAGAATAAGTAGAGGAAGAAAAACAATAAGAATTGGAGATAAAAAAAGAACTCCTATTCGCATAAAGAGATCGTTTGTGAACCAACAAATGTATATTGGTGGTACAATATCACAATAAATAAGAAAAGGAATATTCACAAATGACCAAAGAATAAATGGAATTGGAAAGAGACAGCAAGCTACACGAATCGAACTTAATTGACGTATGCGAGCCAATTGAGATGTAGATGCCCAACGATCAAATGCAGACAAACAAAGAAAACTCATTGCAACAGTTGTCATCATTTGCATAAAAAATACCATTAACTTACAAGCAATAGATGAAACCGATATTGATGTGTATGGAATAATTTGAAGAAGTACGATCAACAAAACATTCACATCGGCTAATGATTGTCCTACAATATAAAATACCAATGGAGATTGACGAAATGTTTTTATGCCCATGAATATTATTGCATTGAGAAACGCTCCTGGAGCTCCAATTGAAAATAAAATAATCGGACTCCAAAATTTGATCTGAAGAGCTGCTTCAAATACTGACATCTTTGTCTTTGTAAAAATCAAATAAGCATGTGCACAATTCTTCTTCAATCATAATAGAATTACTCAAATGCAATCTCTCTCTTTTTCTCTATGCTTCGTGTGATGTCTTCAGATAAAATCCAATTTGTATGCTCGCTAGGAGCACTTAGATTTGTCAACAACAGATTGATCATCAAGATCAAAACTCGCATCAAATTCTTTCAGATAGAAAGAGTATCATTATCGTTTCAGCAGGTATATTCGATACATCTGAAACTGTTTTGGGAAAAAGATCAACTAAAGCTTGAGACGATTCCTTTTTTTATTTTTATATTTATTTACAAATATAAAATAATTTTTCATGAAAATAGTGATTATTGTCAAATATTAGTGTTCAACAAACAAAAAGTAGAAATACACTGTTGTTCGATGTAATCCAACTTTAGATGATGATCGCTTGTCCAACACATGTAATGAAGTAGACACATCAAGATTTGCTAGAAATTATAAATCTATTATCTAAATAGAATAAGACTCTCTAGGAATTGTCATAACAGATGAAAATCATCTTGAAATGACAGTCCAAGATATACAGAAGAAACATCCAGACAAGAAAAAATTCAATTTGAGAATACGTCGTCCGTCTTCTATCCACCCAAGCGATTCAATTCTCTTCCAAGGTCATTTGTCTGAATCAATTTTGATCATTTACGTCAGATGATTTGTTCCGTTAAGTCTAGAATTCTCTCACAAGTTTTAAAGCTAATTATTAAAATAATTATAATCAGCAATAGCGATTTAAAAAAAATTAAACAACGCATCACTCATTCGATTAAGTTTCTTAACAGAGCAAAATCAATGACTGAGAAAATCCAAATGAGTTTTTGGTGCTATAATATCTTTGTGTCTACTTTTTTTCTAACATAGAAGGAACACTACAGACACTTCCCAATTATGGATGTGGATATGGTTTAGATAAAGAAAAGGTGCACACCACCATCTACGTTCATACAAATCAATGCAGTTTTGCTCTATTTCAAAGAATTTGAGAATTATCCGTCATAGATGCTGTAAAGACATTAAATATTCATCGAAAACTAAGCTACACGATTATCTTGTTACGTTACGACACTTTCTCACCAAGAATCCTGGAAATCACATTATATTTTCATCAAGAAGAGTCGTGCAGATAAGAACAGCATGTTAGTCAACTGTAGATTTTTTTTCTTGAAATTTCTCAGTGAACATTGGTTGATTTGATATTAGAAAAAAGCCAAATAACGATCAGGCGATGTTGGAAAAGTTTTTGCATATAAAATCTTTTTAGCTGAAGACTCAATAGAATATATGTAATTTTCGAACAATGGTAATTGTCATCATTGATATCAAATATCTAAGAGAATAGATTCATTTACTATTCGGTAACAAGTGAAAAAAATTTCATATTATTCGTTTCAATATTTAAAAGATACATATCGTTATTGAGTATAACTATGTAGAACACTCATCATTATTTCGTTTGTTAGTATTAGAGTTATCTCTAGCATAAACCAGGATCTTGTAGAATCCAAACATCTATTATATGAACTTTTCAAAGTCAATTTAAGTTACATTAAGTTGTTGAATACTTGTCAAATATAATCCTCGAAATGATAAACACCTTTTCTTATGACTGAGAGTAATATGTTAATCTATTGAAAAGATTTATATTAAGTCATTGAAAGAGATCAAAAACTGTTTCGTATTCTATCATATGTTAAAAAAAACAAATGGAAAGAAAAATTTTTATTTAATATCACAAAGTAAAGCAACACCACGTAAAATCCAATGTTCAGATAAATCATTCGATGCTAATTTAAGCATAGTTATAAAATGAAGATCAGTACGTATTGGTTTTTTATAGACTGGACACATATAAATATATGGTGCAATTGAAATTTGTTCATTTTGTTTTGTTCGAAATGTTATTTGATTTAATCTTAATTTTTTATTTGTAATTATTCCAGTTTTTTGATTTGTTACAGATGGATTTATAGCAAATATATGAATAACTGGCATTTGAACATAAACAACTTTATTTTGTGATTCATGTAAACGAGTATTTTTTCGATCCCAACCAGCACCTTCCAAATAAAGACCATAAACATAAACACCCTAAAAAAAAAGATAACATAATGAGGCATTTTGAATAATGATTTTTTTTTTTTTTCTTAAATTGTTTACTTCAGTTGGTGCTTCTCGAATGTCATCTTTATATGAACGAAGTACAATATTATCAATTATTACAGTATCAAGTGACCATCCTTTATGCATTCGTGTTACTTCTTGTCGCATAGCTGTAAGAAAACCTATCAAATAAAGGAAAAGAATCAAATATCAATCTGAACCTAGAATCGAAGAATAGTCTAAATAAAACTATTTTTTTTTAAATTACAAATAGTGTTCATATTTGCGGTTTTCTTCTATAGAAAGTTTATATAGTTTTATAAAAAAAATTATTTATTACCGTTGGGATTAAAGAAACCCGTCATCCAAAAGCATTTAGGTCGACCTATCATCAAAACAAAAATAAGAATAAAAAAATAATGCTTGTTTCTTTTTATGAACCATAATTCAACCAATTATTATATTGAGTATATCGATCAAGTAGTTCAGAAAACCAAAAACCAAGAGTACTGCTTTCCCATGAATATCTTGTCTAAAACAAAAAGAAAACAGGTAATGAATAAAAATCAATTTAGAATTTCAATAATAAATTAAATTAACCCAATCAATTGGAACACGACCATCATAGATTGAATCAAGTATTTGACGTAGAGACTATAATCAATTTCTTTTTTCAATTATTTCTCATCAGAAATTTTCATCTTACATCATTCAATATAATTATACCATCAATAGCTAATTGTAAATCATTTAAAGAATTTCGTACAGTACGTATAACACGATCAATTCGATGAATTTCTTGACGTAAAAATATAATCATTGGATTCAATATACCCATATTACGTAATTTCTCTCGTACCTATACAAAAAACAAAAAAAATAGATAAATTTAAAAAATTTTTCTTCTATAAATATACTTCATGTTGTATAAAATTTTTTGGTAATTTATTTAACATATCATTTGCAAGATTATAAACAATTTTATCTCGTGTTTCACCACCAGATATATTTGAACTTGCTTCTTTTGGTTGTATATGAACAATTTTTTCAAGCATAGATTTAGCTCGATTTGTTGAATATGTTATATCAGCATTTGAATGAAGACCAAATATTTGTGGTGGATCAATTAATGGAAATTTATCAATATAATCAATATATTCATCAAGACGTTTTACTTTTGGTATTGAATAACCATCATAAAATTTAAAATCTAATGAAAATAATAAATCATTAAACCATTTCTATGATTACAAAAATTTATAAACATTTCAAATAGATTAATAAAAAAAAAAAAAGAAGACAAGTCAAATACTTTAGCATAAGTAATCATTAAACGACGATCACGATCATCAGTTATTCTACCACCATATTGAATTTCTGATATCATATAACGAATAGCTTTCCATGATATATTCTATAATAACAAGAAGTTTTTAGAAAAAAAAAAAAAAAACTATTTGAAAAAATTTTTCATACTAAGTTTGGATTCATATCATCTAAATGATTTTGAATATATTGTACAGATGCTTCCCAATCAGTTTGATTAAATTCTGTATATTGATTATATTTAAAAGTAAACTTGAATATAAAACTAACGAGGGAATCGCCCGAAGTGAGTCACTGCTTTTGAGCTCATATTTTGGACCAGAGATGTCCATCGCGGTTGAAAACTGACCGCTGCCGCGCCGCGACGATAAAAGAAAAAAGCTAACGCGTCGCTACGCCACCAAAAATAACCATACCGCGACCGCGCCGCTGCCGCGATGATTGTTAGAATAATGTTGAGAATTTTACGATCTGTGACTGTTCAGGGCTTGAGCTGTTGTTACCAATCGATAAGATTCGTTGAATCTCATAGTTTTGCACTTGCAAACATTGAAATTCTGTTCGAATTCATGCATTTTTGCATTGTTCTCGAAAAAAACCTACCACTACCGCGCCGCTGCCGCGATAGTTAGTTGAAAAAAACGACCGCTGCCGCGCCGCACTGCGATGGTTATTTGAAAAAAACAACCGCTACCGTGCCGCCACCGCCACAGCGGCAGCGGCGAGGTGGCGGTAGCGGCAGCGGTCGCGCCGCGATGGACATCTCTGTTTTGGACATACAGAGGGGATCTCTAGACTAGAATAATCCTTAAAGGATTCGAGCCCATAGATCCCCGCTACAGAGTTATAGCCATTTTACTTTGATTTTAGGCTATGGCATGGTATGCACACACAAAGAGACTGATGATATTTTGACCTGAAATTTTGTCCACAGATAGGTCTACTTGTAATTAGAATGTCCTGAACGGATCTCATAAAAGATGCAAGAATCTCATGTTTTCTTGTCATTCAACATCTCGTGAAAGAAACATTCTTTTGAGCTGAAATTTTCAGGACATTCTAGTTACGAGTAGACCTATCTATGGACAAAATTTCAGATCGAAATATCATCGATCTCTTTTTTTGTGCATATTGTGCCCTAGGCTAAAATTAAATTAATATAGCTATAACTCTGTAGTGGAGGCCTATGAGCCCGAAACCTTCTAGAATTATTCTAGTCTAGAGGTTCCCTCTATATGCTGAAAAGTGGTGAATCACTTCAAGCGGTTCTCTCGTAAGAATTATTTACCATATGGAATATTCCATCCTAATGGTCCAAATTTTCGACGTTCCTAAAAAAATAAACATTTTATCATTTTTTTTTCTTTTGGATAGTATATACTTGTATGATACTATGAAGAAATGAAGTAGCATATAATAATGGACGCCAATAAATTGTTTCAATATATTCAAGTTTATCTTGATTAATTAAACCATAAGTACGTTTGAGACCAGCTCGTACACCTTGTGGTGGTTCATTAGTAAATTTAATTGATGATTGAAGAATTTGTATTGGAAATTGTGAATGAGTTTCAGTTGTTAACCAACTTCAAAAAAAAAATACAAACATTTTTCTTACTTTTATTAAGATTCTTATAATAATACATACAAAACGAAATGATGGATCGAATGTATCTGTTGCAATAAGAGCTTAAATAAAGATCATTAATATTATATATGAAAAATACAAATTAAAAATTTACTTTCATGAAATTCTTCAAGATAATCTAAACCTAAATGTGCATTTTGTAATAAAAGCCATCCTCCTAATGTAATTGTTTGTTGAAGATAACGTCGAGCAAGTATTTCTTGTCCTTGTCCCATAGATACAATAAATAAATCAATATTTTTCTTTTTTGCTAATGATTGTATATTTGATGTTGGATCAGCACCTGATGATAATAAACCAAGTAATGATGTTTTATAATCACTTTCTTCCCATATTAATTCTAAACTAAGTACAGGAATTTCAGAATATTTTATTCCAAGACTATCTTGAATATAATATCGTGCTTCTGATATTGTTCGATCTGGTGATATACAACGAGCAAATAAAAATCGATGAAATATATTTAAATTTTCATATGTTTCAGGTAATGATGATAAATCAGATGATTCTTTATCAAACCAATCTTTAAATGCACGTTCATTCTTTTGTAACTATAAAAAAATCTATCAATAGAAATTATTCGATTAATTATCTATTTATATACTCGATCAATAACATCATGAAATTCTTTCAAACGACTTAATTCAAGTAAATTAAGCCAAGATGAATCATTTAACCAACGAAATAATTTTGGTGGACATGTATTTAAATCTAATGATGCACCACCTTTAATTAATACTTCAAATTCATCATAACGTATTTTTCCTCGACGTAAATCAATTCTTAATGCCATTAATAATGTAAACATAAGTCGATCTTCTTCATATAAACCACGTGTTGTATAAAACCATGTTCGATATGTTAAATAATCATTTATATTTTGAATACGTTTTTGTGTTGCAGCAATTTTATTTGATCTTTATTAATAAATTATTTAAAAGTTTGAACAAAAAAAAAAAAAAAGATAAATCAAATACTTTATCATTGAATCATGAAAAAGACCAAGAAATTGTTGTAATGATATTTGATACATATGATTAACAAGCTTAGAATAGAAAAAAAATTATCAATTTCATTGATAAAAAAAAAATGTATGAAAGATCTGTTCGACATTCTTTCTTAGACAAATGTACCTAGACGATTTAGGCTTTAATTTTCTACATACTTCTATGAACCTTTATTTACAATAACAGAGTAAAAACTTTTTATAAATTGCGTTTTGTGACTGAGTAACAGTGATTTATCTACTGGGTGGGCGCCGCCCATTCGAAAATATACAGCAGCCATTCGTCTACTGGGTGGGCGCCGCCCACCCGAAATTTTGATTCGCCCACTCGAAAATATACAGCAGCCATTCGTCTACTGGGTGGGCGCCGCCCACCCGAAATTTTGACTCGCCCACTCGGGAAACGAAACCTAGAAAAAACACTGCTGAGTAAATGATGTTAGTCACAGATTGTAACTCATAGAAAGTTTTTTCTGTGTTCATTTAAATAAAACAAGTTTGTAGAGAATCAAATATTGTAAGAACTTTCGATTATATCCGATATAAAGATTTGAATACATACTGTAATTTCTGACATAAGAAAATAAATGATCGATCCTCGAACAGCAACAGGTCGATATTCTTCTCTTGCTGCACTAATTTTCATTTTTGTATCTTCAGCAATAGAAACTTTTTCTTTAACTTCTATAGCAATTCTTTTATTTGCATTAAGTACTTCAACAAGAGATGGATCATCAAGTACTGAACCCTAATAATAAAATTCAATTAATATTATTTTCGAATATTTTAAAACAATCAATTTTTTTTTTTGTTTTACTTCAATACTTGTTAATTTAATTAATAAATTTTCTTCAAGTTCTTTTAACATTCGTTTATTTTTTGTTGTTTCACGTGCTAATGTAACACGTTCACGTTCAAGTTCCTAATATATTTCAAAAATTTATCTTTTTACTATTTTCTTTGTTTATTATTATTAAATAATACATACAGCACGTTCATTAGCAATAACAAGACTAAGTAATTGATCTTCTAATCCACGTTGTGTTACAGTAAAATCAATAATTGATACTCGTGCACATACTTCAGGAGAATAAGTTGGATTAGCTAATTTTGTTGTTATATATAAACGAAATGTATGATTAACATCCTAAAATATTTCCTATGATTTTAGTTTTGTTTTTTGTTTTTTTATTAAAACAGACCACTTCACGATCACCAACTTTAACCTAAAGATTTATTTATAGATGGTTTATTTGTATGATAAAACAATTGAAAACAAAAAGAAAAAGAACGTACTCGTAGAGAAAGACCTATTTTAAAATAGTTTTTTTCTAAAATATGATCTAAAATTGGATCTAATTCTTCATCAACATCTTCAATCAATAATGGACGTCCAAGTGAAATTGAATCTTCAAGTTGTTGTCGAAACATTTTTGAATTAAATGTTGTTATTAATATATCATTATCACGTTCCATATTTTTTATCCATGATTTTCCTTGTAATTGTCTAATAAAGTTATTATTAAAAAAGTCAATGAAATATATAAAAGTGACTACAATTACACGAACAACAATATTTTCTTTAATTATTTTTTTTTCTATACTATATCTTAAAAATACAAATTGTGTTTTGAATAGACAATGGAATTCTCTATTAAATGTATTCTATACTAAAACAAAATTTTTAGAGAATTGAAAATCATCATTCAGTCGAACGAGTACTAATACATGTCTAAATACATATTGAAAGAGAACTTTCTTGCCTATTTAAACACTACTATTTGAAATTTTTTCAGAAAAAAAAATATTGATGTTCTTATAACTCTGATTACTAGAGTATTTCATAGAAAATATATTACGGATCAATTAGAAGTGGATAGCGATAGTTTGATGTTGCTATAATACCATTTTGAATTGATAGATCATCATTTGGTAAACCTTGTAAATTCCATTCACCGATCTATATAGATAAATATATAAATTATCATTAAAAAAAAAAAAGAAAGAAATCTTACTGTTGCTTCATCATTTAATTGTTCAATAATATCAAAATTATCCGAAAATGGAATAGTTCTTTGTTGTATTTGTTTTTGCCATTCATTTAATAAACGTTGCCGAAAATCTTGATTAAATGGACCAGAATATGATAGAAAAGCTGTTACAAGTATAGTATTTCCAACTAATCTAAAATATTGAATAAATTTATATACTCATATGAAAAAAAACAAAAAAATTTATGTATGAAATTACTTTTCAATACTTTGTTCAAATGCTTTATTTTGTTCATTCCATCGAATTTTTTCACCTGTTAATCCTGATATTAATGTATTTGCATCATCACGTCGTTTAAGTAAAGCATCATAATCTGATTGATATGTCTAAAAAAAAAAATTCAAATTAGAATTAATATTATTAATTTTAAAAATAGAATATAAATACTTGTTTTGTTTTCATAGCTACATCAAAATCATGTTGACATTTAGCTAAACCAATTTCAGTTCTTTCAAGTTCTCGTTCAGCTCTAGCTAATTTTCTTGAAGCTTTTCGAAGTGAATTTTCTGCTTTTTGTACTTTATCCTATATATTAATATTGATTAAAAACAAAAATCATTTTATTATTATATCTACTTTTATTGGAATAACTTCTTTATTAATTGCATGATAAGATTGTATTTTATCTATAAATTTAGAATTTAAGAAAAAATTTCGTATAGAAAAAAAAAAGAAAAGGAAAGTTAATTCACCTGTCCATGTTTTTAATGTTGCTAAATCTTGATAAGCTTTTCGAGCTTTTTCAGATAAATCTTTAATCTCTGTATATGGTGCTAATAATTCAATGATTTCATCATTAAGTTCACGTATTGTTAATAATGTTGATAATAATCCAGAAAAATTCAGAAGTCTTAAAATTTCTGTTTTCGATGGTGCATAAAATGGTTCATCAAGATTATAATCAATTCGTATTGGATCAATACGTCGTTTCATTAATATTAATGCCATATCAAGTACAATCATGATAGCTTCGGGAGGTTTTGCTAATTTACGAAGATTAGTTATTGTATTTCCTTTGATTTGCTATTTGAATATTAAAAAAAAAAAGATGAAAATTGATTCTTTAATGGTTAATTGATGGAATATCTATTTAGCTTTAGGTTGAATAAGTCTTTTTATCTGATTTTTCATAATCGAAAAGATTTTATAATTATATAGTTAAGAGTTTTTGGCAAACAACTCCTAATTCACTCATAATATCTTCCGAGTTTAAAAGAAAATGTCGATTGTTATGTTAAAGCAATCTTAAGTCTTGGTGAAGAAGAATCAGCATTGAACTATTTATAACTTGGTGTACTGAAAAAAGACGATGTGAGTTCCGGCAAGTTCAGTGATAAGTTGACGTATTTTCAGTGCAAATATGAGATAGTTTCGAAAGAGAAAAGACAGTTAAGCGGTAATTTTGCTTGTGACATTTTATTCTTAGGAAACTTGTGAAATATGTGATAATTTTATATTTGACTATCGTCGAAAATCAATATTATATAGTTGGAGTCTTATATGTTTTTTGCGTTTTCTCTGTCTCGGCTTTCTTTATAGTGCAATCCAATATTCCACTCTAATAAAACGCGTCGTAGTCTGTCCGTAATTCAGGATCTGACTGCCTTGAACTTCAAGAATAAGTATCACGTTTTTAAATGAAGACGAAAAAATATTAATTTTTCTCTCGTGCAAAAAAAGGAACAAATGTGCTGAAGGCAGAATTCGAATCACATTTTCGATATATGTCGCATTTTAACATATCAGGCATCGCAGTTGGTCTTTTTTATTAAGCCTTGTTACTATTGTATAAAAGAGCGCTTTTATAACCAGAAAGCCACTTTTTGGAGCGTTCTGAGAGACAATAAACTTTAATAAAACAACAAAAAAAAATTAAGTTTATAGAATCAAGGACTACAGAGAATTTTTGATTGCCACATGAACTATTATTGAACCTTGTTTGTTGAATAATTCTAGAAAACATCATGATATAGGATTGAAATTATTAACATAGGCTCTTCGCCATAGCACTAATATATTTTGAGAATTTTATGCAATTTGCATGCATCTAATTCAAAATTGATTTTTAAGGCGAAGGACGTTGACCTAAAATAGTTATTTACTCAAGTCGAATTTGTGTATCATGTTCATGAAATTCTTGAGTATCTTGAACAAGCAAATCATGTGATATAAACACATTTTGTGACAATATGTCAGATCGTCACCCGAAATACCTTATGGAAGATTCCATGAAAGATATTTTCCAGACACATGCTCCTCGAATACCTGCTCTTCAATTATACTAAACAGAACTCTTGTTGATTGCAAGAGCCAAAGCGTGTTGTTATGGGTCAATCAAACAGCTCAATCCATATCAACACTCACATCTTCACCCACACCTTGTTGCTCTTGCAATCAATGATAACTCTGCTAGGTACTATTGGGGGCCACTGTCGTCGAGAAGCAACTGTCCGAAGAGCAAGTCTCGCTAGGGAGCAAAGGTCACGGGAGCATCTTTCGTATTACCTTTATGAGAAATATGAAGAGCTGTACAGTTTAGCAACAAAAATCTACCGCTATCGCGAGCTAGCGATAATAATACTTTATTGGATTCGGTCATCTTTGAAAATCATGAAATTGATATGTGCGATTTTTCTTCGGTTTTACATTCAAAACAAATTGATTTGGAATGAAAATTCACAGTTTAAGTGACAAAGTCTATAATAGATAAGCGACAAAAAAAGGAATCTACGTAAATAGATTCAGATATCTTCAATGATAAGAAGCATTCTTTCATCTTGAGAAGAAAAGCGTTTAATTTTTTATTCTAGTTGATTGTTTCAAGTATACTCATTCTTATCATTTTCATCAGTTGAGCATATGAGCTAATTTAAATGTGCATATAACTAATACAAAAACTTCAGTGTTTGTCAATCGAAAGACAGTCATATAATACGAAAATATCTTGAGATCTACGCATGTCAAGCGCATGAAAAACAAAGTTCGACTAGGGTTGACTTTTAACATTAAACTCTACATTATCTTTCATTAACAATTGTTGACTGAAAAAATCATAAGACCAGGGTTCTTATCTTTGTTGTTGCGTTTTTAACTTTATATCATTTTGCTTATATAAAGCATCAACGAATATAAATAGAGATATCATATTTTTGCAAGTGTGCTTCTTGTTTTTCTTTTTTTAGTATTTTAATTAAAAGAACAAAAAAAAAATGTTTAAAATCTTCGCCGTTATTCTTGGTACTATGTTAGTAGCTGTCAACTGTGGTTTACTTCCTGGTGGTTATTCTGATCATCCCGAGTTACTTCATGATTCACGTGTTCAAGGTTTAGCTACTTATGCTGCTGAATATTTGGCTATAAAAGAAAATATTTATCTTAGCCATATTAAACTTACACGTGTTCAAACTCAAGTCGTTGCCGGTATGAATTATAAATTAGATTTTACTGCTGAATCTATTAGTGGTGGTAGTGGTAAATTAACAACATGTCAAGCTATTATCTATGTACGATTTGATCAAACTCAAAAAGTTACCAAAGTTGAATGCCATTAAACATAAATTTTATCTTTTAATATTTATGTTTCTTCATTTTTTTGAAATAAAAAAAAACCCCAAGCTTATTCTTTTTTATTCTTACTTTAACAGCTTCTTCGGCTTCTTTTAAAATAACTTCAGCAGCTGATAATTCTTCTTCAGCAATGGCTTTTTCTTCATTAACTTGTTTAACAAGTATTTCAGCGGTTTCTTTTGATTCTTGAACTTCTTTAGTTTTGATTTCAGCTGCACTACGTAATACTTCCATTTCGGCCACTTGCTATAGAAACATAATACAAAAAAAGAAAGAACATTATAGAAAATATATCAATATGTGAACTATTAGAGGCTTTGGTCTTAGTAGAAAATGTCTAAGTTACCAAAAACACAACAAATGTCGACAGTTGACTAACATCTTATGTGGATTCTATCAAATACTATACAATACCAAAGCGTCTATGACTCCACTAATACTTCCTAAGAAATTAGTACTGATTAATTCTCAACGTCTTTTCATCATCTTCAATTGAAGTCATATTCTCATTATGTTTCTTTTGAAAAAAAAAAATCTCTTTCAATAGTCGGAGGAGTTTAGCGATTTGTGAATTGAGCTCACTATTTTATATGATAAATCTGAGAACAACACATAGCAAGAAAACGTGTTTTTGCCAGTGCGAAGCATTTAAATCAGTTGATATAGAGGTTATTCCTAAAATTATTGTGTCAAATTATCAAAATTGTTTTGATTTTTTGAAAAATCCTTTCAGTTAAAATTTATGAAAATAAATAAGACACAATAAAAGATCCAGAGGATTTCTACGCGGATATTAGTTTATTGTACTATCGTATATTAATCAAGAAAAACAGCAAATGTCAAGAATTAGAAAAGACATACTAAAACTTCGAAAGATTTTCAATGATTATAGAGTCTATTGTTTTTCCTTTTCATATGAATACATTAACAATAGTGATAATAAGTTAATATGAAAAAAACTCTATGAAATCACGTAGATTACAGAAAATTTCTTAAACATTCTTAATTTCATTGCTGAGAAATGACAAAGGATTTTTTTTTAATACTTTTGCTGCTTCCATATTAGCAATAGCCATATTTTTTTCTTTAGATATTAACTCTTGTGTAATTTCTTGAACTTGTTCAGCTGCTTCAAATAATTTTTGAACACCAGTTTTCATTTTTTGTTTTTCTTTTTCAAAATATTCACGTTGTTTTTGATAATATAATTTAAATGCATTTATAAATCTGAATAATTAAAAAAAAAAACAAAATATTAAATAAATTTGATTCTTATAAATATATATATATTTTTTTTTGTTACGATAGAAATGATTTTGGTGTTACATATGTACGTCGTCGAAATTTTTCATAATAATTTTCACATATTCGACTAACATCATCATGTATATCAGCCATTAATTCAATAACATTCTTTTTTATTGTATTTGATGTAACAAGAATATCAAAACGATTTAAATAAACATTTGATACAGCAATAAGAGCATCGAGTGGCCAACGATGAAACCTAATTTTAATAAAAGAACTTGTCGTTTTTTTATTTTCTATATGTTGTTTTATTTCTTTTGTATAACAAACCAATCGATAGTACAACCAGATACTAGAGCTGGAAATTTTAATGCACGTTCACGAAATTTTCGATTATCTGGAGAAAAACATAAAACAATATGAAGATTTTTACGAAGTCTTTCATAATAATAATTTTGTAGATTTTCATTTGTTAATGATCGTTTTGGATATTCTTTTTTCATTTTAACTGATAATTCTGATAAAGTTTCATCCATTTCTTCACGTGTTATTAAACCAGAAACCTTAGAATAATATTCAATAATTATATTTTATAGAAGAAAAACAAAAACTACTATTACTAATCATAAGAAAACTTCTGCATTCTATCTATTTTCAGACATATATTAAAAACTTCATGCCAAGTGATTTTAATTTATCTGAATCATAAAGTATTCTTTGAGAAATCTCTGTATGAGAGTCTATGATAATGATTGAAAAGTAGCCGATATCGTTGCATTAGGGTCTATCGATCTCGGAGTGCTGCTTGTGATCGAATTTCACTGAGAATTATTTGTAGTCAAAATAACAGGCAAACGAATGGAAGTTAATTCAGATAACGGGACTTCTTGTGACTATTGTATTATAACAAGATCTTATTGATATACGATCTGTGACATTGAAAGGGATTAGAATTCAAACTTCTATTCTTACAATTCTTTTAGATTGTGTTTCAAAAAAAAAAAACGAAATTACTTCTCCAGAACTAAGAACATTATTTAAATATTCAAGAAATTGATCATCTTTTATATCATTATCAGTAAACATAAATACAATTCCTTGACCAAGACGAGCTGCACGTCGATAAATATTTCGTAAATCATCCAAAAAATTATTTAATGTATATGTTCTTTAATAGAAATTATTAAAACTGAATACTAAATTATTTTATTCGATTACCTTGAAACACTTATTTGAAAATATTTATAACCTAAATAAAACCTCATTGTAAACATAACATCTAAATAAATGCATTTATTAACCTGCAATATATGCTGCTAATTTAGTTAAAGATTGTTTTCCACTACCACCAACGCCAACCTTATAGAAGAAGAAAAAATGATATTATATAAAAACTAAAATTAATCTAACCAATAATAAATGTCCTTTTGGCATATTAATTACACGTGAAATCTTAAAAATAAATTATAAAAATTAGATTTTATTAAAATAAATTCTCACGAATTCGTACACGTAATAAATGTATCATAGCATCTTTAAAAAATACTAAATCCATATTACTACCACGAATTTCTTCATTCATTTTTGTCATACTAGCAATTAATTTTGTTTGTAAGATATCCCATGATGAAATTGGTTCATAAACTTTTGGTAATAAATCAGCAAGATCAATATCATCACCCATTTCATCAGTAACTTCCAGTTCTTCACGAAGAAAACTATGCGAAAAAAAAAAAAATCAAAAGTTTATTAAATAATTTATAGAAAAAAATTTGTTTGTTCTGAACAATGATTAAAAATTTCAGAATAATTGAAGTAATCAATTTATATCTTATCTGATATGGCTTATAGAAGAGTTCAAAAACTGAATTATTTTTATGACACTATACTTTTCAGAGTTTTTATTCGAGTGATTTCATACATAGATAATTCTTATTTTTGTCAAATAATCTTACTGATAATAAGTGTAAATGGTATTAGATTATTGTCTTTTGCAGCGTTTGACTGTAAGAATGTTCGTCTGATATTTTAAAGTGATTAGATAGTATGATTTTAAAAAATACTGGAACTTGTCGAGTCTTGAAACTTTCAAACTCAAATATTTTTATTCAAGTTTATTGATATGCTTTCAAAGTATGATAGTCTCGAAAACAATTTGGTATGCATATGTCCACAGTTCAACTTGATCGTTCTTATTTGGTGTTGGTTTGGATGTGGATGAGTATGTTCTCTTCAGACACAATAGAAAAGGAAAAACATAGGGCAGGCTCCGGGTGGACCATATTAGATACATATTACAAAAATAAGTATACTCGAGTGCATACACAACTATTTCTAATTGTCAATGCATAATATATTTCACTGTTCAGAGAAAAAGGCTGTGGTACATCATATGTATCACCAGTCTTGAAAGAGCAAATAAAATTTCTTATTTCGAATCTAGTAATTGTTTCTAGGGGCCGATAAGCTCAGCTCAGTTCCTCTGAGCGGAACTGAGCTGAGCTTGTCGACCCCTAATTGTTTCAATGCCTTGGGATGTTTTGCGGCGATTATTTATACTCAGTGATTAACGCATTCTATACATATCTCAGACAATCCGGATCGTGCCTTTATTATAATCCAATTTTAATTAGCTTCGATAGAATCGAGGTAGTAGATATAGAAATTCCTATTAAGTTAACAATAAGATTATTAAATAGAATATGTTCTCTAATAAATATAAAACTTAATTGAAAATTTCAATTACTTAGCAAAATAAACTTCTGAATCTTCTTGTATTGAAATATTATAAATATCACCAAAAGCTTGTTTAGCAATTCTAAATTGTTCTTTTCTAAACCATTCTTTTTCTATATTTAATACTAATCGATCAGCTAATACTCTTGTACATTCATGTTTCCATAATTGAAGATATTGTTCAATATCATTTTGACATTGTTCAGAATCAATTTGTAATATACCTTCCCATATACGTGATAAATCTCTTAAATTAAATATATAATGAAATTTAGCTGGTGTTGGTAAAAATTTTCCTTTAACTAATTGCCATAATATACGTGTTGCTGAAATAGATTTTTTAACTATTTCAATAATATCATTAGAAAAATTTCTTTCTAAACAAAAATATTTTCCAATAGAATTAAATATATGATCAACAGCATTATTTGATGGTAATGTACAATTTAAAATAAAAAAATGACGTTTTAATCTTTCAGATATATCATTACGACCACCACCTGGATGACACATAGCAGCAAGAAATTGTAAATCAATTATATTAAGAAAATCACCAGGTTTAATTAATGAATAAAAACCTTTTTGTTCAATAAGTTGTCGAAGTATTTCATTTGCTTCTTGATCACCCCATGAATTTATCATTGGCATATTAATATCATCAATAAATATTGTCATTTTACGTCCATATAATGGACCAAATGTATTTGCTACACGTTTATCAACAAAATTTTCTATTGTTTTTTGTATTAAACTACTTGTTGTTATTGATGAAAAATTTATTATACGTGTTAAATGTTGTTCACTATCATAATGTTTTAAATAACTTGTAATTATAACAGTTTTAGCTGTACCAGGTTCACCAATTAATAATACAGCTTTTTCTTGTTTCGCAAGTATATTAATAAGATATGATATACGAACATTATCAATATTAGGAACAAGAATTGATGCAAAATCAATTTTTTCATCCTTTGGATATTCCCATGGTTCAACACGAGTC